CCTAGCGGAGGTGCTGCAGGTGCTGCTTGAGGTACTGGAGCAGGAGGTGCTGTTGGCGCTGGTGCTGCCACTGGGGGTGCTGGTGCTGTCTTTGCTGTGTCTGGAGTCGCCGCGCGGCCTCGGCCGTACTTTGTTCCGCTCCTTCAGCAGGTTCTTGGTCTTCCTCCTCCCTTAGAGTGTCCACCGCCTGTCCAGTCACAGTCACAGTTACCGCCGGCCTCCCCACTGCCTGCTCCTTCTCCCTACACTGGTCCTATTGGAGGTCTTGTTGAGCGTCGTGAGCCTGCGTCTCGTCCTGGGTCGCCTGTTCGTGCTGCTCGCGCTAGTGGTCGCGGTTTGCGTCAGCGTCCTCCTCCTGTCCCTGGCACGCACCGGATGTCTCTACGTCCGTCCACTGCTCCTCTGCGTGCCCCTTTGCCTTATCCTCCTGAGTCCTCTCTTCCTGCCCTTGCCGACCGGGAGTCGAACTCTCTTCGTGCTGCCAGTCCTACTGTCACGCGTCTCCTTGCTACTATCGTCACTGACCCCTCTTTTGAGTCCACTACTGCGTCTGCTCTTGTTGCTGAGCTCGTTGACTTTGCTGCTCGCTGTCGTCTAGACTACGCTGCTAGTCTCGTTGCTGAGTCTGCGTCTGTCTGTCCTCCGTCCGTCGGGGGTGAGTGTGCTCTTGGCACGGACGTCCTTGAGGACAGGCAGGAGGAGTTCCAGTGTCTGGCTGCTGCTTCACCTCATCTCGTGTCCGTACTGCTTACCCCTGAGGGAGACTCGGGTGCACTTGACATCCCGACTCCGCGCTCTTACGCGGAGGCCGTAGAGGGTCCCTACTCCTCTCAGTGTCAGGCAGCTATGGATGCAGAGATGGCTTCCTGGAAGTCTACAGGCACCTATGTTGACGCGATTCCCCCACCTGGGGCAAACATCGTCAGTGGCATGTGGATCTTCAGGGGAAGCGGCCGCCGCGCTCTCCGCCTGTCTTCAAGGCGCGGTACGTGGCTCGTGGCTTCAGTCAGCGGCAAGGAGTTGACTACTTTCAGACCTTCTCTCCCACCCCGAAGATGACCACTCTTCGGGTGCTACTACACATAGCCGCTCAGCTTGACTACGGGCTTCACTCCCTTGACTTCAGCACTGCTTTCCTGCGGGGTAGCCTGCACGAGGAGATCTGGTTGCGCCGTCCACCTGGCTTCACTGGGACTTTCCCTCCTGGCACCCAGTGGAGCCTCCGACGGCCAGTCTACGGTCTCCGCCAGGCACCGCACGAGTGGCACGACACACTGAGGACTACGCTTGCGGCTCTTGGGTTTGCTCCCTCTACTGCTGACCCGTCGCTGTTTCTACGCACCGACACCTCTTTGCCGCCGTTCTACATCCTCGTGTATGTCAACGACTTGGTCTTTGCCACTGCTGACATTGCTGGACTTGCCCATGTGAAGTCGGAGCTGCACAAGAGACACACGTGCATAGACCTGGGTGAACTGCGCAGCTACCCTGGCTTGCAGATCACCTGAGACAGAGCACGCCGCACCATTACCCTGACTCAGTCACACATGGTGCAGCAGGTCCTTCAGCGCTTCGGCTTCACGTACTCCTCGCCTCAGGCCACTCCTCTGCCTACTCGCCACTCGCTCTCAGCTCTGCCTTCGGATGAGTCCGTAGAGTCGAGTGGCCCGTACCCAGAGCTTGTTGGCTGCCTCATGTACCTGATGACCTGCACACGACCTGACCTTGCATACCCTCTTAGCATTCTTGCACGCTATGTTGCTCCTGGTAGACACAGACCGGAGCACATGGCTGCAGCGAAGAGGGTGTTGCGCTACTTGTGCAGTACGTCGGGCATGGGGCTAGTGCTTGGAGGGTAGAATCCAATGGTCCTCAGTGGGCACGCAGACACTTCTTGGGCTGATGACCAGGCTACGCAGCGGTCGTCACAGGGTTACACCTTCAGCCTTGGTTCCGGCTCTGTTTCGTGGCGGGCTACTCGCTTGTCTTCTGTTCTCGGCTCCAGTTGTGAGGCCGAGATCTACGCCGGGGCCATGGCTGCTCAGGAGCTTAACTGGCTCACCTACCTGCTGACCGACCTTGGAGAGCCGCCTCGTTCTCCTCCAGTGCTGTACGTAGACAACAAGGCCATGCTCGCCTTGTGTCGAGAGCAGAGAGTGGAGCACAGAACAAAGCACATTGCTCTTCGCTACTTCCTTGCTCGTGAGCTACAACAGCGTGGTCAGTTGCGGCTTGCGTACGTGGCCTCTGAGGCCAACACTGCTGATGTTTTCACCAAGGCATTTGCGCCTTGTGATCATCAGCGCTTCTGTACTCTGCTTGGTCTTGTGCCTGTCTTGCCTCACTTGCTCACTTCTTGACCTTGCTTATAGTGTCACATATATATATACTTCTGCTCTTGCTTGCTTAGCCTCTTATATATATGTATATATAATATATATGTGCTCCTGCATGTGAACTGGCCTTCTGGCCTTGAACTTGTGCTCGGAATGTGTGGTGACTTTGTGATCCACCCTGAGCTTTGCTTTGCTTTGCTTGACTGGTCTTGTGACCCCTTGTTCTCCCCTACTTTGCCTATGGGGGTGTGTCAAATCATAATGTTGTCTAGGCTTTAGTGGGGTAGCCCATATGGGGTACACATTTCTAGGGTTGCATATTTGTATCACTTTCATTCCGTAGTCATTCATTCTCGTTCTAATTTCCTCACCCTATTCGCTAATTCCGCGAAGGGTGCTTCGCGAACCAAGCATTGTATGGGCTCTGCAAAAGTTCGAGTTTGAAATATGAACTTGATGTCGAAATATTTTGTCATGTTTTATAATTGCTTGTAGTTGTAGTTAGTGTAGTTATGTAAACTTTTGTTGGTGGTGCACCTTATTGTGTTTCTATGCTATATGTACCCCTGAACCTATAGTGAAACTCACCTTTTCACAATTTTCCTCTCAACTCACTCGACTCTCACCCTAGGGGAAAACCCGCTCGATACTAAGTTAGGGCCTAGGCTACTAAGCCTAGGCCCCACGTTTCTACTCTCTATTACCTACTATCTTGACATGGTATCAGAGCTGTTTTCGTCCTGGCCTGTGGGCCCGCGTTACTCTTCCGCTGCTGAGATTTTCCGGTCGCGCGCCTAGGGCGCGTGACGATTTTAGTTTTACCTTGTCCCGCCCACGGGCGTGTGACTCCTATCCTGCCCGTCGCGCGCCCCGTGGCACGCGACTGTGCCCTTTATCTGCCCATCGTACGCCCCGAGGCACACGATGGTGCCCTGCTCGTCGTGCGCCCCGAGGCACACGATCGGGCCCTTTTATCCTACCCGTCGTGCGCCCCGTGGCACTGGCCCGCGACGGGCCTCTCCGCCCCTGCACTCCCTGCTGCCGTCCCTGACCCATCTGCACCGACGCCTCTTCGCCGCTCTGCGGCTTTCTTCCTTCCCACCCCCCCCTTTCTCTTGTCTCCCTGCAGCCGTGGGGAGGAGGGTATGGGGGTGGAGGGTGTTGGAGCGTGGGGTCAACTCTCTCCCTTTCCCTCCTCCTTCTTTCAGTCCCACCGCTGCAGCTGCCGCTGGGGGAGGAGGGTGTGAGGATGTGGGTGAGGGGGGGGGGTGGTACCGGGGTGGCGGGGGTGAGGCAACAAGCAGCCGTCCCTCCACCTTTCCTCTTTCCCCCTTTTCTCTGCTGCTTCTGCAGCAGTGTTGGGGAGGGGAAGGAGGAGGGTGAGGAGATGGTAGGGGTACCTGCTGTTGCTGTAACTACACACCTACCTACAAGCATTATGGGGGCGTGTCGAAATATTTTGTCATGTTTTATAATTGCTTGTAGTTGTAGTTTGTGTAGTTATGTAAACTTTTGTTGGTGGTGCACCTTATTGTGTTTCTATGCTATATGTACCCCTGAACCTATAGTGAAACTCACCTTTTCACAATTTTCCTCTCAACTCACTCGACTCTCACCCTAGGGGAAAACCCGCTCGATACTAAGTTAGGGCCTAGGCTACTAAGCCTAGGCCCCACGTTTCTACTCTCTATTACCTACTATCTTGACACTTGACTCGAGTCGGAGGCGCGAACGTGCGTGCGCACGTTCATGCGAGCGTGTGTGATTTGCAGCACGTCCGAACAGCTGGCGAAACGGGCGAGCGCTTCGCCAGTGCATGAAGTTGCACAACGAAGTCACCCCACAATTCGTGCACATAGTTGTAGCCACGTGTCCAGCATACAAGGTGTTGCCATGGGGGCTATTTGTACTCTGGTTACACACTCGGCGCGGAAGGTGAGTTGGAGCTCTAGGTCCTTGTAAACCGAGGCGCAAAATGTTGACGTGGCGCACCGTCAAGACGAGCGAACCGGGTAACCTATGATGTTGACGTGCGGCTCGGCTGGTTTTTACAAGTTTGAATGTCCGGGTTCGACCTTGTATGTGTGTGTGATTTTTTACAGTGTGGTAAGCCCGATGTTCGAACTTCGATAGAAGGAAATTTGAACTTCTTTCGTTGTTAGTTCGAAACTAAAATTAGCCCTAAAAACATAAACTTTTACAAATTTCAAAGACCTCACGCGCCCTAACCTCACGCGCCCTAACCTCGCCCGTTTCGCCAGCTGTTCGGACGTGCTGCAAATCACACACGCTCGCATGAACGTGCGCACGCATGTTCGCGCCTCCGTATCGAGTCAAGTTCATATTTCAAACTCGAACTTTTGCAGAGCCCATACAATGCTTGGTTCGCGAAGCACCCTTAGCGAATTCAGCGAATAAGGTAACCACCCAAAGTTCGAACTTTATTTTGAACTTCTAAACAGACCACACGCGCCCTTACTGTGCGGAGAAGGATCGGCTCTCAAAATTCTCAACTATCTCAACCACCGCGCAACAGTTGCGATCTGCAACCACGCATGGAAAGACAGGTAGGAGAGGCGAAAGAATGGTCGCAAGGGAAAGGCAATGAAGCAATTGATGCTTCACTGCACAAGAAAGTAACACGCGACGGACGAGATGGTGACTATGGCGGTGTGAGTTCGAGTAGATCTGAGGTTCGTGCGTTGATTCCTGAGTCGACTTGAGTCGCGCCGCGAGTTCCAACGCCGCGTTGCGTCCCAACAGCTTGTAACGAAATGAGCCATGCGAGGCCGGGTAGTCGGTCGCCGTCGCGGATCGTCGCAGCCGCCATTCCGTGGCTAGCGATGCTCATCGTCGCTTTCCTGGCACGTGTAGTCCAGCCCGTAATTCTCTCCGACTCCCAAGGTGCGGTCGATCGCAGCGCGAGGCATTCAAGAGACGTATACCCGCGCAGCTCTCGCGGCAAAGTGAATTCGCGCCGTGTTGGTCACCCCCTGCCATTCGCGGCATAATCTCGTTCCCTCCCACTTTCCTGCACTGCTTTTCCTACACGGAGCTTCCAACGATTCACCATGGAGCCCGCCGTCCCGCTCTCGCTTTCCCTACACCCCGCGCTCCTCTCGGCGCTGCAGGCGCGGAAGACTGAACTCTCGCATTGACGACCACTCCTCTTTCTCTCACAGGAGCCTCTTGGCCTCTTCCCCCTCCGACTCCTCCTCTCTCACCTTCCGTATTCCCGCTGTCCCCCGTGCCTCTCCGCCCCACTGCCCGCACGATCGGCTGGCAGCGGCGGCGCTGAAGGAGTGTGCGGCGGAGTGGGGGATGAGCGCGACGGGGTGGGCGCGGGGCGCGGAGTGCGCACAGGCGCAGGCCATCACATGCGATGGCGATGGCATGGTGACGTCACTGTGAGTGGGGGAGCGCACGGGATGCATGGTGGGCGCTGTGCGTGCGAGGGCTCGGTGCCGTGCCGTGGTTGTGAGTGCGATGGGGCGAAAGGGAGGAGCAGGGGCATTCAAGTCGCGTGTGGGTGGAGGCGCGAGGGGTATGAGCGCGAGAGGCGAGGGCAAGATTGCATGGAGAGCCGCACCACGTGCATGCCGTGCCAACACGCACCGCTCTCATGCGCACGCACTTATCCCTCCTCCCTCCCCCCCCCCCCCCCCCCCACCGCTACTGTTCTTGCTTCATCACGCCATGGCCACGGCTCTTGCTCAACCGGCTCTCGCCTGCCACCAACCCCCCACGTACATCTCTCCACCCGCCTCCCCCTGCGCCATGGGCAGGGACGTGGCGCAGAGGAACCTCACCGGCTCCCTGCCCTTCGCCCTCTCCGCCCTCTCCCGCCTCCACTCCCTGTCAGTCACCCCGCCCCTTCGCTCTCTTGTCTGCTCACTCCACCCGTCTCCACTCCACCCGACTCCACTCCACCCGTCTCCACTCCACCCGACTCCTTTGCCTTCTCGCTCTCATGCTCTGCCCACCTCCAGCCACAACCCACCATACCCCCCCTTCCACCCCCCTCGCCCTCGTGTGCGCGAGGCGCGCAGTAATGTGCGCAGCAACCAATTGTCGGGACCTCTGCCGCCCGCCCTCTCCACTCTCGCCCGCCTGCGCACCCTGTGAGGCGCACTGCCCCCTGTGAGGCGCACTGCCCCCTGTGAGGCGCACTGCCCCCTGTGAGGCGCACTGCCCCAAGCGATGGGATGAGGGCTTGAGTTGAGGATGCGTGAGGGGAGCGAGCCAGCTGCTGGTCATCTTCTGCTCGCTGCTGGTCATCTTCTGCTCTCTGTAGGCACGCGCTGATGGAAGGTCGCTCATTCCCTCTTTCGTGTGTGTGCGTGTGTGTGTGTGTGTGTGTGAGAGAGAGAGAGAGAGTATGCGCGCGCGTATGTGTGTGCTTCTGTGTGTGTGTGCGTGTGGGGGGAAGGGGATACGCATGCGCGCTTGTGTGTGTGTGTGCGCACGTGCCCGCGCGCGCGCGCGTGTGTGACTGTGTGTGTGCATGTGTGTGTAACTGTTTATGTTTGCGCATGCGTGTGTGTGTATGTGTGTGTGTGTGTGTGTGTGTGTGTGTGTGTGTGAACACACATGCAGAACTCTAAGCAGCAACAGTTTCACCGGCCCTATTTTCGAAGTTGTTACCAACCTGCCATCCCTTGTCTCCCTGTAACCAACCTGCCATCCCTTGTCTCCCTGTAACCAACCTGCCATCCCTTGTCTCCCTGTATCCAACCTGCCATCCCTTGTCTCCCTGTAACCAACCTGCCATCCCTTGTCTCCCTGTAACCAACCTGCCATCCCTTGTCTCCTTGTAACCAACCTGCCATCCCTTGTCTCCCTGTAACCAGCATGCCATCCTTTTTGTTGCCTTGCAATCGTGTTTGCTTTGTGATGTGGTGTGGGGCGGGTGAGGCATCACATGGAATGACAGTCTTCGGGATCTCATCCGCACATGCTGCACCATCACACTGCCCTTCGCCTTCTCCCGTTCCTCTCTTGCTCTCCCCACCATGCTTCTCTTCACTTCACCCTCCTCCTCCATCCCTCTCTTCTCATTCCCATAATCTCTTCTCGCCTCACACTGTCTCTGCCTAGCCCTGCTTTGTGTTCCTTATACTCCTACTCCCATCCATTCCCTCGCAGAATCATCGTCTGTGTTTGACATTCAACCCAGCTGACCCCCCCTTCCCCCGTCATCTAACCCCCCTCGCCCCACCAGTTCGTTGTACAGCAATCGCTTCACGGGGCCCGTCTTACCAGCCATCTCACGCCTGCACCGACTTGCGTTTCTGTCAGCTCCCCGCGCCTCTCTCTCTCCCTCACTCCCTCTCAAATGGTCCTTCTATTGAATCAGAACGGGTACAGTCCAAGTAGTGAGAGCAGATCAGATATGCCTATTATTGCTACCATCTCCCTCTCCTCCTCCCTCACCACCTCCCTCGCTCGCGTCTCACTTCGTTACTCCCTACTACAGCCACTTCCTCGCTATTGCTCTCCTAAGCAAACTGCCCTCGTACCCACTCCGCCCTTTCGGTCCTTTCCACTTTCGCCTTTTCCTGTCTCCTTTCTCCTCTTGCCCCTCCCCTCCATCGCATCCCCCTTCACTCCCATCTATAATCCCATCCCCTTCCCCTCCCATGCCACTCCCTCCCTCCCATGCCCTCCCTCCCGCTCATGGCCCTCCCTTCCCTCATATGCCTCCACTCTCCTTTCCCGTCCCGCCCAACATGCGTCCAGAGAAATGGATTTGAACGACTTGAACACACCACTGCCGCGAGAAATCAGCCATCTCACAGCCCTCTCCTTCCTGTACGCCTCTCCCTTCCCGTACGCCTAAGTTGCTGAAGCGTCTAAGACGCTAGACGCGCGTCTTGGGCAGATTAGACGCTGGGATAGACACAAGCCCGGGCAAGCAAAAAAAAGTACTTCCAGCCAAAAAAACGTTTTTATGGGGCATGGGGAGGGGGGGAGAAGGACATTGCACACATTTTGGCAAAAAGGGTTGAGGATTTTTGAAGGAGAATCGAGTAGAACTAGATATGAGCACAGATGAGGTGGTTCCGCTCCTAAATACTTCTGGTGGTGGTTAAAAACAAGAGCTTTGGGGTTGATATTTAGGTTGGGGGTTAACAAAACTTGGTTGGGGGGGCTGTTTTTTATTGTCGAAATGGGTTGGGCGGGGGGTTGTAATGTCGCGAAATTGAATTTCACATCGAAAAGCGGAATTCAATTTCGCTCGCGCGATTTTTTTTCCGGGCTGCCCGAAAATTTTCCCCCATGCGTCTAGCGTCTTCGCAAGCATCTGGCATCCTGCGTCCAGACGCTGCGTCAGGACGCAGGACGCTCTGGGCGTCTTCCGCAACTTAGCCGTACGCCTCCCTTCCCGTACGCCTCCCTTCCCGTACGCCTCTCCCTTGCTGTACGCATCCCATTCCAACCCATCCCATTCCATCCCATCCCACCCCACTCCACCGCTTGCAACGCCACCCGTCCTTCCCTGGTGTGCCACAGGAGCATGGGATATACTGGCCTCTCAGGCCCGCTGCCCGACACCATCGCTGCCCTCACAGCCCTTCAGTACATGTAACCACCGCCCCTCTCCCTTGCACTTTGTCTGATCTGCATTTCCTTGACCTTGTAACATGGTAACCATCCACTTCGTTGCACCCACACCGCACATCTCCCGCATCTTGCATGCCATCAGCATGCTTGTATCCTCTCTCTTGCTCTCCTTGCATGCTTGTATCCTCTCTCTTGCTCTCCTTGCATGCTTGTATCCTCTCTCTTGCTCTCCTTGCATGCTTGTATCCTCTCTCTTGCTCTCCTTGCATGCTTGTATCCTCTCTCTTGCTCTCCTTGCATGCTTGTATCCTCTCTCTTGCTCTCCTCGCATGCTTGTATCCTCTCTCTTGCTCTCCTTGCATGCTTGTATCCCCTCTCTTGCTCTCCTTGCATTCTTGTATCCTCTCTCTTGCTCGCCTTGCATGCTTGTATCCTCTCTCTTGCTCTCCTTGCATGCTTGTATCCTCTCTCTTGCTCTCCTTGCATGCTTGTATCCTCTCTCTTGCTCTCCTTACATGCTTGTATCCTCTCTCTTGCTCTCCTTGTATGCTTGTATCCTCTCTCTTGCTCTCCTTGCATGCTTGTATCCTCTCTCTTGCTCTCCTTACATGCTTGTATCCTCTCTCTTGCTCTCCTTGCATGCGTCCCTCCATTGCAACACCCATCGTCCCTCCCGTCCCATGCCCCATGGTCCACCACCCATCACCACCCACCACCACCCACCACCACTCATCACCACCCGCCACCAGGTACGCGCCATCCAACGGCATCACAGGGAGCATCCCGTCCAGCATTGCAGCCCTTTCGCGCCTCAAGTTCTTGTGAGTCGCACACGCCTGTCGGCACCTTTGAGGCCTATTCACTAGTATATCGTGTGTTCAGAGACCAATGTCTGAGTGTTTTCAAGAGTATGAGATGAGGTGCTGCGTTTGAGCGCTCCCACACCCTCTTCTCTTGTTTTCCCTTACTGTACTTCTTCCCCCCTCTGCTGCTCTGCTCTTGCCCCCCTCAGTTTTTCTGATTCTGCTCTCCTTTGCTGCTCTGCTTCTGCCCGCATCTGCTGCGCTTGTCCCATGCTGCAGGAGTGCGCAGGGAGAGGGCACAGGGGAAAGCACTCCTCCTTAACCGTGCCCGTCCTCTCCCATTCCCCACCACCGCATGCATGGCAGGGTGCTGAGTCAGAACCCCTACCTCACGGGCTCCCTGCCTCACGCCCTCTCGCGCCTCACCACCCTCCAGCAGCTGTCAGTCCCTCCCCTCCTCTGCCCTCCCCTCCCCTCCCGTCCCCTCCCCTCCCCTCCCTCCTTCCCCACCATCCGCTCTGTCCCTCCTCCTGCGTTTCTCGCATTTGACTCTTCACCGCCCTGTACCATCTCTCACCATTCTGCTTCGCTGCCCCCTACAGCACCTGTGCTGCTCCATCTCATCCCGCAACTTCTCTCTCCCGCTCGCCGTCCCTCCCATTTCGCCGCTCTCCCCTCCGCATCTCTCGTCCCTGCCAAGTCCTGTCCCACTCCCATGCTTTCAGCATCCCCTTTTTTCGTGCCATGCCTCATCCCCTTCTCTTATGCCATCTTTCCCATTCCCACCCTTCCCCCTTCCCCCTTCCGCTTCCCCCTTCTCCCCCCTCCCCTCCCCATCCCCCCTTCTCCCCCCCCCTCCTTCCCCTTCACCCCTCCCCCTTCCCCCCCCTTCCATATTCCCCGTTCCCCCTTCCCTCGTGCCCCTGTGGTGCCCTCCCCCCCCCAGGCTACTGGGAGGCACGGCCATATCGGGCCACGTGCCGCGCTTCCTCGCCGCCCTCACTCGCCTCTCCACCCTGTGCGCCCCTGCCCCCTTTTCCGCCCCTGCCCCCTTTTCCTCCCCTGCCCCCTTTTCCTCCCCTGCCCCCTTTTCCTCCCCTGCCCCCTTTTCCTCCCCTGCCCCCGTTTCCTCCCCTGCCCCCTTTTCCTCCCTTGCCCCCTTTTCCTCCCCTGCCCCCTTTTCCTCCCCTGCCCCCTTTTCCTCCCCTGCCCCCTTTTCCTCCCCTGCCCTCTTTTCCTCCCCTTCCCAACCTCTGCGCCGCCCTCCGCCCTCTCCTGCCCGTCCTGCGGGTGTGGCGTCCACCTCCTGCCTGCCATGTCCGTGCCTTTCAACAACCCACTCAACGCCTTTCAACAACCCACTCAACGCCTTTCAACAACCCACTCAATGCCCTCCCATGCTTCTTGTCTCCCTCTCCTCACTTCACTCTCACCTTCCTCTGGTCTGGTTGGTCTCTGTCTCCCCTCCTTGCTCCCCTTTGTCTCACTTTCCCGCCCGCATTCTACTCAGTGAATTGTCTGATACGAAGCTTCAAGGAACCATCCCTGCTGCTTTTGGAGCTCTCACGAACCTTTACTCCTTGTACGATTTCCTCCTCCTTCACCACATACTCGAATGTATATACATATATACAATAACATGTTTCTATCTCTTATCTCGAACGACCCTCGAGGCAGGCCATGAGTGCCTGTCACATATTGCACAGCCTTCACATGATATACCTGTGACAATCATGCAGAAGAACCCCAGTTTAGACTGAATTATTGGAGTTGTACCTTTTAGAGGGAGCAATAACGGGTGGTTGGCCATGATTATTGCCTCGAACCAAACAATAACTTGGCTTGGAAATATTGGGGGGGTCCAAATAATCTCTAACCCGCAACCCTAGCAAAACGGCTGTCCTTGATTAAGGCCTGCCACAGAATGCGTTCCGCATTAGTCGGATTTCTGCGTGGCAGGGGCGGCAGCCCTCGGATAAATCACTTAAAAATCGACGATCGAAAGTGTATCACCCTGATCTGCCGAGCAGCTCAGAGCTTAAGGCTGGTTCAAACCCAAAGATCGATCAAGCTAAGGGCGATCCCTCCCCTAGCCTACGACCGCCGCCGACCCGCTCTAAAGAGTTTGGGTGCCTAACTATTACCAAGCATTATAGCCCCATATAAGAGAGACAGAAAGGATGATGAGCTGACACTGCCTCTGTGTGCCCATCTGCCCTCTGTGTGCCCATCTGCCCTCTGTGTGCCCATCTGCTCTCTGTGTGCCCATCTGCCCTCTGTGTGCCCATCTGCCCTCTGTGTGCCCATCTGCCCTCTGTGTGCCCATCTGCCCTCTGTGTGCCCATCTGCTCTCTGTGTGCCCATCTGCCCTCTGTGTGCCCATCTGCCCTCTGTGTGCCCATCTGCCCTCTGTGTGCCCATCTGCCCTCTGTGTGCCCATCTGCCCTCTGTGTGCCCATCTGCCCTCTGTGTGCCCATCTGCCCTCTGTGTGCCCATCTGCCCTCTGTGTGCCCATCTGCCCTCTGTGTGCCCATCTGCCCTCTGTGTGCCCATCTGCCCTCTGTGTGCCCATCTGCCCTCTGTGTGCCCATCTGCCCTCTGTGTGCCCATCTGCCCTCTGTGTGCCCATCTGCCCTCTGTGTGCCCATCTGCCCTCTGTGTGCCCATCTGCCCTCTGTGTGCCCATCTGCCCTCTGTGTGCCCATCTGCCCTCTGTGTGCCCATCTGCCCTCTGTGTGCCCATCTGCCCTCTGTGTGCCCATCTGCCCTCTGTGTGCCCATCTGCCCTCTGTGTGCCCATCTGCCCTCTGTGTGCCCATCTGCCCTCTGTGTGCCCATCTGCCCTCTGTGTGCCCATCTGCCCTCTGTGTGCCCATCTGCCCTCTGTGTGCCCATCTGCCCTCTGTGTGCCCATCTGCCCTCTGTGTGCCCATCTGCCCTCTGTGTGCCCATCTGCCCTTTGGTGCATCATCTTTCAGTCAGGTTCCTAGCACCGTGCTTTGCCCAGCAGAGGGTAGCTGTGGAATGAATCTCAACCGTTCATCCATCTTTTGCAGGATCTGCTCGACTTTCTGCTCCATGTGTACCCCCATCAACGGTCAGGATCATGCCAACCAACCAACCATGCACTTAGCCTTGCTTTTGTCGTCCACGCCACGTGCTCCCCCTCTTTAGCTCCCCGAATTCACCCCTCCAATCTTCCCCTGCCTTTCTGCTCACTTAGTCATGATTGGTCGACCCGTCCCGACCCGACCCGATTCTATGCTTCCCTAGTCTACTCCTCCAATTTATCTGTGTGTTCACTAGTCCAATGCTTGCTTACTCAAACCTGCCCACCCATCCCCTATCCCATCGGCCCACCCATCCATCACCCCACCCCCTCATCCCATCCTCGAATCGTATCCCTCCCAGCACCAATCACCAGGCCGCCTCCCCCTTCCCCTCCGCCCCCTCCGCCATCCCCCTCTCCCCCACCGCCTCCCCCTATCATCACGGCCCTCCTCGCTTCCCCTCCTCCTCCCCTCCTTCTCCCCTCCTCCCTCTCACCATCCACGATTGCGGGGGCAGCAGCGGGTGCGGTGCTGTTGCTGCTGCTGCTGCTGGGAGTGGTGGGGGGGGGTTGGGGGCTGTGGCAGTGGAGGCAGGGGCAAACGCGGAAGGGGGAAGATATGAGTGAGTGGGTGGGGAGAGGGGGGAGAGGAGAGTGCAGGGGGAAAAAAGAAGAGGGCCTGCAATGTGATGGGTGCGCCTTGTTGTGGGCCATGTGACGCTGTGCTGCGCTGACATGCGGTGGGGTATGTGGTGGGGCATACAGTGGGGTATGTGGTGGGGCATGTGGAGGGGCATGTGATTCTACATTGCCATGGGTTTGTTGGGTGAGCCGATGTGTGTGGGAGGGGGGGAAGAAAGTGTGTGAGTGTGGGTGGGTGTCTGTATCTGTATGTGTTTGTGGTGTGTGTGTGGCATGCTGCCCCCTTCTTGCTGGGTGTGTGTGTGTCTGTGTGTGTGTGTGTGTGTGTGTGGAAAGAGAGCGCTTCGCTTCTCCTCGTTTCATGTGGTTTCCCTAAACCTCCTTTTCAACAGCGCCACCCCTCTTCCTTCCTTCCTTCCTTGACTGCCCATATGCCCCCCGCCCCAACCTCCTCTCATTCCCCCTTTCTCCCATCCCCCCGTTCCCCTTCCAGCTGCAACCATGCCCAAGCACACCCCCCCCTGCCCGCACATTCCCCTTGCTGACGTCATCAGGGCCACCAATGGGTGGGCAGCGGGGCGGAGGGTGGGGGGAGGCAGGTGGAGTGACGTGTACTGGGGGGAATGGGGGGAGTGGGGGGAGGAAGGGGAGGGGGAAAAGGGTGCGGACGGGGCCAAGGGGGAGAAGGATGATGCGACTGGAACAGAAGGAGAAGGGAAGCCGGAAGGGGGAGAGGTGGGGAAAGGGTGGGAGAGAAAGCAGGGGGTGCGTGCAGGGAGGGGGAGGGTGCGGGGGCGGGGGGGCGAGTGGGCAGTGAAGCGCATGAGAGGAGAGGGGGCGCAGTGGGCGTCAGTGGAGGCCCACGCGGCTGCCTTGGCGCGCCTGAGACACCCCAACGTGCTCCGCCTCGTGGGGTGCTGCTGCTGGCCGGGCGAGGGTGACAGCGAGAGGCTGCACGATGCAGGGCAGGGGGGTGTGCGGGAGGAGGGCGTGCAGGAGGGGCGGAATGGGGGAGAGGGAGGGGGCGGGCAGGGGGGTGGGGGAGGGCAGGTGTTGGTGTACGAATGGATGGAGAGGGGCAGCGTGCAGGCGCTGCTGCAAACAGGTGCGTGCTCACAGTGACAGGTGCGCTCACCAGTTTTCTCTCCTTTCCTCTCCTCTCTCCTCTCGTCTCCCTTCCGCTCCTTCCCTCTCCTCTCCTCTCACAACACCATGCCACTCCCCCTCCACTCGCAACCGCCACTTGTTGTTCTCCTTGTTATCTCCTCGCTCGCGCTCCACCTTCCTTCCTCCCGAGTCGGTTCAGCCACCCAATCCCCAGCGTTGCTGCAGCAGCGTTTGCATGCAGCAGTGGACTCGCTTCCTTCCCTTGTGAACTGTTTTCTCTTTCTTTGTTGACCCCGCACAGCAAAACCCCATTCCGCCCACAACCCTCATGTGCCATGTCCCTCCCCCACGCCTCACCTCCCTTGTGCGTCCCAAATCAGCCGCACAGGCAGGCGTCAGCCCGGTGTCGCTGCGGCAGCGGGTGGGCATCACAGCGGGCGTGCTGAGGGCGCTCAAGGCGGTGCAGAGCCACGGGCGGGTGCACGGCGACCTCAAGCCCTCCAACGTCATGCTCTCTGCCGCCTGGGAGGTGCGTGCTCTGCCCTGCTCCAAGTGACTTCCAAGTGACTTCCAGGTGACTTCCAGGTGACATTTCAATGTGACTCCTCAGTGAGACGACTTCAAGTGCGTGTGGGTGATATGACTCTTGGCTTCTAGGAGTCGGGGGAGTTGCCTGCCGTCATGTTTGAACTGCTTGTAGGCGAAAGGCTCGCCATGAAGGATCATGACAAGTTGGCCAACCATCGATCTTTCGCACAAGTCTCACATCTCCAATGTGCTCGAGTCTCACATCTCCAATGTGCTCGAGCCATTTCGTACACCGAATCTCGCCGTGTCCCGAATCGGAAAGTCCGAAGCTCGAGTCGGAAATCCCGCGGTCCGGGAAAATAATTTCGGGAGGACCCAAAGAGCGGATGACCCGAAGTCAGGAATACGCCCTAGCAGCAACTCACTGCACCTTCAGTTCTTCACCTTTGTCTGGTGACGAGCCCTATGCTGAGCTCGTAGGATCTCTCACCTGTGCACTGATGTGCACTCGACCCGATCTGGCCTACTCTTACGCCACATTGCTCCTGCTCGCTTCACTCTCCAGCATTGAACCGCTGCCAGGCGGATCCTTGGTGATCTTGTAGCGACTCAGCATCATGTCACTCTCAGGGGATCCCCTTTGCTCGCATTGAGGATCACAGTGACTCTTCATGGGCTCATGACTTGAGTGCTCACCGCGATTCACAAGGGTACCGTGTTGGTAACGGGGCTGTGAGCTGCCGTTCTATTCGACCGTCTTCCATCTGTCTGTCCTCGTGTGAGCCCGAGCTTTATGCCGGCACCATGGCTGCTCACGAAGCCCCTTGGCTGACATTATTCCGTGGCTTCCTCAGCCCACACTTACAATGCCCACACCACCCTCTGTGACAATGAGAGCACCATTCACCTCACCAAAGACCGCCACTAGTCTCCGTGTGAGCTAGCCCAGCGTGGGCAGCTCAAGGCCGTCCGATTGCAACCTGAGCAGCCGCGTCAGCAAGGCCCTTGGCCACCAGGCCCTCCACCGCCTGCTTATGTCTCATGGTTGGGAATTCACTCGCCCCATGCCTCACATGTTGCAGCCTGGGGGCTGTGTTCGAATTAGGCTGCCAACAATTTGTGTACTCTCTTCTACATTGAGTAGGTTGCGTTGTAGTTCAGGTGCAGATCTGTTATCCCAACCGTATCCAGGTTGGAATTCCCTCAAAATCCAATCAATCTGCCAACTTATCATTGGCAATTTGGTCGGATTTCTGAGCCATCCTTTCCCGTCATTTTCTCAACCCACCTCTGTCTGTGCTCAAGGCTGACCGCCTTCATAATTTAGCTTCTATTCTGACAGAATCAATTCAGGCGCGGTTCCTCTCCTCTCTCACTCGCCCCTTCCTTACTCACCCCGCCAGGCACGGGTGGGCGACTGGAGTGCGGTGCGCATGGGGCAGCGCGTGCACGTGGACATGGGCATGGGCAACGGCAACGACAAAGGCCTGGGCGGGTGTCCGGAAGGTTCCTGGAGGAGCGGGAGTGGGGAAGGCGTTGACAATGAGGGTGGCATGAGTGGCAGCACTGGGAGCAGTAGCAAGAGTGGCAGCAGCAGCAAGAGTGGCAGCAGCAGCACGAGTGGCAGCAGCAGCAAGAGTGGTAACAGCAGCACGAGTGGTAGCAGCAGCACGAGTGGTAGCAGCAGCAATAGTCGCAGCACTGGGAGTTGGAGGGAAAGCAGCATGTGGAGTGGCAGCAGCAATGGCAGTGGAGGGTGGCGAGTGGTAGTGTTGCGGTGCACGGAGGGGCATGTGGACCCTGCTGTGCTGCACACCGGCATTGCCTCCGCCACCGCAGACATGTTCAGGTGAGGCGGGTGATGCGGGGTGAGGCGGGTTGAGGTGCTGCTGATGCAGCTGCTATTCATTCACCCAGCCTTGAGCCCTCCGTCCGCCCCATGCTTTCGCCCTCCCTACCACCCACCCTTTCGCCCCTCCTCCCCGTGCTTTCGGTGTGCACCCGGCAGCGTGGGCGTGCTGCTGCTGCAGCTGCTCACGGGGTGGCCTGCGCCCTACGAGCATGTGGATGGGCAGCGCACGCACATCTGTGACTGGGTGCGTGCTGCTCTGCTGGCCATGGCATGGCATGGCGTGGCATGGAATGGGGTGGATGGCGTGGCATGGCATGGCGTTGGCATGGTGTAGTTATGGTGATGATGGTGTCTGCATTGACCGTGCTCTCGTCCCTTACATGGCAGGCATCACAGCGCACGACTCACATGGCAGGCATCACAGCGCACGACTCACATGGCAGGCATCACAGCGCACGACTCACATGGCAGGCATCACAGTGCACGACTCACATGGCAGGCATCACAGCGCACTACTCACATGGCAGGCATCACAGCGCACGACTCACATGGCAGGCATCACAGCGCACGACTCACATGTCAGGCATCACAGCGCACTACTCACATGGCAGGCATCACAGCGCACGACTCACATGGCAGGCATCACAGCGCACGACTCACATGGCAGGCATCACAGCGCACGACTCACATGGCAGGCATCACATCGCACGACTCACATGGCAGGCATCACAGCGCACGACTCACATGGCAGGCATCACAGCGCACGACTCACATGGCAGGCATCACAGCGCACGACTCACATGGCAGGCATCACAGCGTACGACTCACATGGCAGGCATCACAGCGCACGACTCACATGGCAGGCATCACAGCGCACGACTCACATGGCAGGCATCACAGCGCACGACTCACATGGCAGGCATCACAGCGCACGACTCACATGGCAGGCATCACAGCGCACGACTCACATGGCAGGCATCACAGCGCACGACTCACATGGCAGGCATCACAGCGCACGACTCACATGGCAGGCATCACAGCGCACGACTCACATGGCAGGCATCACAGCGCCCGACTCACATGGCAGGCATCACAGCGCACGACTCACATGGCATGCATCACAGCGCACGACTCACATGGCAGGCATCACAGCGCACGACTCACATGGCAGGCATCACAGCGCACGACTCACATGGCAGGCATCACAGCGCACGACTCACATGGCAGGCATCACAGCGCACGACTCACATGGCAGGCATCACAGCGCACGACTCACATGGCAGGCATCACAGCGCACGACTCACATGGCAGGCATCACAGCGCACGACTCACATGGCAGGCATCACAGCGCACGACTCACATGGCAGGCATCACAGCGCACGACTCACATGGCAGGCATCACAGCGCACGACTCACATGGCAGGCATCACAGTGCACGACTCACATGGCAGGCATCACAGCGCACTACTCACATGGCAGGCATCACAGCGCACGACTCACATGGCAGGCATCACAGCGCACGACTCACATGGCAGGCATCACAGCGCACTACTCACATGGCAGGCATCACAGCGCACGACTCACATGGCAGGCATCACAGCGCACGACTCACATGGCAGGCATCACAGCGCACGACTCACATGGCAGGCATCACATCGCACGACTCACATGGCAGGCATCACAGCGCACGACTCACATGGCAGGCATCACAGCGCACGACTCACATGGCAGGCATCACAGCGCACGACTCACATGGCAGGCATCACAGCGCACGACTCACATGGCAGGCATCACAGCGCACGACTCACATGGCAGGCATCACAGCGCACGACTCACATGGCAGGCATCACAGCGCACGACTCACATGGCAGGCATCACAGCGCACGACTCACATGGCAGGCATCACAGCGCACGACTCACATGGCAGGCATCACAGCGCACGACTCACATGGCAGGCATCACAGCGCACGACTCACATGGCAGGCATCACAGCGCACGACTCACATGGCAGGCATCACAGCGCACGACTCACATGGCAGGCATCACAGCGCACGACTCACATGGGACACCTGAGTGTCGTACTCACACTGCGCTGCTCCTCCATCCCCATCCCTACTCTTCCCATCCATCCTCCTGAAACACCTTCCCCTTTCCTTCTTCCCCTGCCCGCCGATCCCTCTTCTCGTCCCCTCTGCCCCCACTCTCAGGCCCAGCAGCATGTGACAGCTGGCAACCTCTCCCCTCTCCTCGACCCCCTCCTGCCACACCCTCCACCCCCTCACTCCCTCCTTCTCCCTCTCTTCCACCTCGCCCTCTCCTGCACCTCTCCCTCCCCCTCGCTCCGCCCCACTCCCTCCGCGGCCCTCCGCTCTCTGAAGCTCCTTCACGCCTCCCTGCTGCAGGGGAGTGATAGGGGACGAAGGAGGGAGAGAAGAATGAGTCGAGGGGAGAGTGAGGGGAGGCAGAGCAGGGGGCGATGGAGCGGGATGTTCTGGGGAAGTGGCGCAGAGAGAGGGGAGGTGCAAGACACTGGCGGTGCGTTAGGCGCACAGCTGGCTATGCTGGGTGTGGTGGACAGTAGGGAGTTTGTGGTGTAGATGGGGAGAGGCATTGTTTTCTTATGACTTGGGCTGGGGGATTTTTTATTGTACCGGCAGCACATCCCAACTATGGCACATTCATGAATTCACCAGGTGGTACATTAACAGATTCACCTGTTAATACATTAACATATTCACCAGTTGGTACATTAACATATTCACCAATTGGTACTCTAACATATTCAGCAGTTGTTACATAAACATATTCATCAGTTGGTGCATTAACATATTCACCAGTTGGTACATTAACATATTCACCAGTTGGTATATTACGATATTCACCAGTTGGTACATTAACGGATTCGCCAATTGGCACGTCAAAGCCTGAGTCCCAAGTTACAAGGCGCGCGGGTCGAGTTGATGCCAAGGGTTGTGCAAACTTGAAAAAACTGCATTTGCAATTTGGGACAATCGAGAGCACCCACCAAGGAGAAAGTCAAGGGTTGGTTATGAGTGGTGAAAAAAACAAAATTGACAAGATAGAAACTCTTGTTGCTACTAAAAAACTTGTCAAAATATGTTCTACATGTATATTTCAAACCTCATTCTTGGCAAAAGTCATTCAATACCCCCTTGGCCTAGGCTTCTAAGCCTAGACCCTACTAAAACCCTTGCTCGTACTTATGCTACTATCTTGACATGCTATCAGAGCGATTCCTCCTCGGACCGATAATGGGCCCACCGTTAGCACTCTGTCACGCTGCCCGTCGCGCACGTCGGTTTCTGCCCGTCGCGCGTGTCGGTTTCTGCCTATCAAGATGAGCGAGAATGAACTAAGTTTTACTAGGGCCTAGGCTTAGGAGCCTAGGCCCAACTAGGATATCGAGTAGTTTTGTGCCAAGGGTGAGGATCGAGAGAATTGGGAAGAATGATTTCACTATAGGTTTCAAGGAACATATAGCATAGGAAACAAAGACGGTGCACCACCAAACTAAGTTTATAATAACTACACTTACTACAGCTACAGGCAGTTACAAATATAAGTTCTGACACTCCCCCATAACTGCCTGCAGTAGGAGTTTGTGCAGAATACAACCTGCAGGTGTACACATGCAAAATAATAAACAAGCAACAGCAGGAACTGCAGGCGGGCTGACACTAGCTGGTCACCCCCTCCATCTCCTCACCCTCCTCCTTCCCCTCCCCCACACTGCTGCAGGAGCAGCAGAGAAGGGGGGAAGAGAGGAGAGGTGGAGGGACGGCTGCTGGTTGCCTCACACCCGCCACCCCGGTGCCACTCCCCCTGCTCCCCCACACCCTCACACCCTCCCCCCCAGCGGCAGTTGCAGCAGTGGGAACGAAAGGAGGAGGAGGGGAAGGGAAGGAGACGACCCAACACTCCAACACCCGCCACCCCCATACCCTCCTCCCCACGGCTGCAGGGAGACAAAGGAGGAGGGGGTGGGCGGGAAGAAAGCCGTAGAGCGGCTAAATTGTGTCGGCGCAGATAGGTCAGGGGCGGCTGCAGGGATAGCAGGTGCGGAGAGGCCCGTCGCGTGCCACGGGGCGCACGACGGGTAAGTTTAAGTTTAGGGCCCGGTCATGTGCCTCGGGGCGCACGACGAGAAGGGCACCGTCGCGTGCCACGGGGCGCGCGACGGGCAGAGAAGGAGTCACACGCCAACCGGGGGCGGGACAAGAGAAAATCGCCACGCGCCCTAGGCGCGCGACCGGAAAAACGTAGCAGCGGAAACATGAGGCGGGCGCACAGGCCAGGACGTAACTTGCTCTGATACCATATCAAGATGAGCGAGAATGAACTAAGTTTTACTAGGGCCTAGGCTTAGGAGCCTAGGCCCAACTAGGATATCGAGTAGTTTTGTGCCAAGGGTGAGGATCGAGAGAATTGGGAAGAATGATTTCACTATAGGTTTCAAGGAACATATAGCATAGGAAACAAAGAAGGTGCACCACCAAACTAAGTTTATAATAACTACACTAACTACACCTACAGGCAGTTACAAATATAAGATCTGACACTACCCGTCGCCCGCATCTGTTTCTGCCCGTCGCGCGTCCGAGTGCGTGTCGGATTCTGCCCTGCGCACGTCGGTTTCTGCCGTGCGTGCCCTGCGCGTGTGAGGATCTCGGATCGAGCTCAGGAAAGAGAGTTGTAATTAAATGATTCACCTGGGTACAAGACGAGGCTATATATAGTCTCGACACAAGGCCAGTTACCCAGGTGTTACGCGAATGTTCTGAGGGTCGCGAAGCGCCCCAAACAGATACGTCCCGAACTCAGTTGAAAGCAATTCGGTGGAAACCGAATAGGATTGAGTTTGGTACACGTAACCTGGTTCGATGCTATAACTATAACACAATATAAGAATGCACATAACCTAGGAAATCAAGCATATCTATGCATGATAAAATAAACCCAAGCTAGATATAGCATAATAAAGTCTAGGCAAGCTAGCAAAGCCAGCATCAGCCGTCGTACTCTCACAGCGCGCCCTGCTGCCCTGCGCACGCCCGCGCGTTCTGCTGCCCTGCGCGCCATGTGCTCCCTGCTACCCACGCGCCCTGCTGCCCTGCGCGCCCCCCGCGCTATGCTGCCGTGCGCGCCACGTGCGCCCTGCTGCCCTGCGCCCCGAGTGCCGAGGTGCTTTCGTCGCCTGCTGCCCACACACCCTGTAGCCCGCGTCACCTGCTGCCCACGCACACTGCAGCCCACGTCGCCTGGTGCCCCCGCGCGCCCTGCTGCAGTGCGTGCGATTGCTCCCCTCTGCACGTGCATCTGCAGCCGCATGTGCAGCCCCTACAACGACCCCCCCCTTCTCCCTCTCCATGTTGCGTGTGCAGCATGGGGGGGGGGGAGAGGGTTTGAGGGGGAGGTTGCATCTACAGTGCCATCCTGCCTCCTCTTTCTCACGGCTGCACCTGCTGCTGTAGGGGGGAGTGTCCTGTGGTGGGGAGGGTGTGGGTGGTGGGTGACTTAATTGCAGCATCTGTTGCCACGCCTCCTCCTCTCTCTCCTCTCTGCCGCTGCTGGTGCTGCTGTGGGGGGGAGGTTGAGGGGGTGGTGTGTGTCCAGCTGCAGCATCAGCCACCTCTTCCCCACTTGCCCTCTGCTACTTCTGCTGCACTCTACATGGTGTACCCCGTAAGAAGGCGTTACTGCACTTGTACCCGCAAACAATTATGGGGGCGTGTCACTTGTATCTGCAAACAATCATGTGGGCGTGCCAAAATATGTTCTACATATATATATTATCGTTTTTAGGTGTAGTGTAGATACCTAATCTTGTTTGTGGTGCACCACTTCTTGCCTTCTTTCTTGTATAACTTGGGCCTTTGAACCTTAAGTCAAACCTCCTTCTTGGCAAAAATCTCTCGATACCCCCTTGGCCTATGCTTCTAAGCCTAGGCCCTACAAAAACCCTTGCTCCTACTTATGCTACTATCTTGACAAAACGGTACTGCCTCCCAGACAGGGCCTCAGGATTCAGCGAGAAAATGATGATTTAGGTTAAGAAAATATTACAGACCTTTTTTTAACCGAGGCTGATTTTCCAGCATCTTTTTTGAAAGAAACAAGATAATTTAGTTGGTACATTAACGATTTCACCCGTTGGTACAATCACGGAATCAATAGTTGGTACATTAACTGTTTCATCAGCTGGTATGTTAACGGATTCACCAGTTGGTACAGTAACGGATGTTGATTTAACCAGGAATCGTAGTGAATAGGATAAGACAAGCTAAGATTGAAATGAAGACAATGAAGTCTTGTAATGACCTTGTTGATAATAGTTGAAAGAGAACAAGATAATGTAGTCGGTTGCGCCCCGTCCCGTCCCTTAGCAGGTCGCGCCCCGCCCCGTTCCATCGCACTGCCCGCTGCCAAGTGTTGCCCCGCACTGCACGCTGCCCTGCGGCGCCCTGCCCTGCACTGGTGCGCGTACGCTGTACGAGCAGCGCACACACGCACAACAATGTGTGCACAGGTAGCGTACACAGCAGCTGGGCATAGGCAACATGTGCGCACTGCAATTGCAGTGCACACAGCAAGTGCAGCACGCACAGCCACGCGCGCATAGGCAGCGTGCATGCACAACAGCTACACACACAGCCGCACTTTTGTAGCTGCACGCACACCAGTAGACGCACGAGCGTCAGCAGCCACATGAGCAGTGGCAGCCTCACCTGCGCTCGCTTGACACCAGCTACCGTGCTGCTTGTACTGAGGCTGAGCTTGCACTACTCCCCTTGCTTATGCGAATCACTAATCACTTCATACTCACTAGCCCTCCTGACTGCCTAGCACCTGTAAGTGACGCACTTCTTTGAAAGCACCCTATTGCGCTCACTATCGGTATCCTTGAGGTAGCACTCAAGGATGTTGAGAGCAACCTCCGCTCTGTTGCCTCTGTCACTGGCATCGTAGATCCCCCCTTTTAGAGGTCTATTGGCACAGCTCCCCACCTGCACTTTTCTTGCCTCTACTGTGCTTCGTGATTTTGATGAGACTGCACCCATGTTTACCACGGGTGGGCGGCCCAGGGGCAAGGTAGGTAAGAAAGGGCGGAAGGGTGGTGGAGGGGGTGGCGGAGATACAGGTGGCACTAGTGCGTCAAGTGGAGGCGGCACTGAAGCTGGTCATGGGCCTGCAGGCCCGACGGGAGGGGGTGCTGGAGCGGATGCTTGGTCTACGGCATAGCAACAAAAGCAATCCCAACCATATTGTAGAGAGTATAGTACATTTCACGATTGTACTTGTGTTGCCCGCATTCCTAGTTCAATCATTCCGCCGTTCTTACTCTGAGATGGTATAAAAGCAGGCTCTTTCCTAGAACCTACAATGGGCATCCCGTAATGCGCCCCCTCGCAGGCCCTCCCGCGCACCTCCTTAAGCGTCGCTAATCGCCCCATGTCACGGAAGCAGCGTGCTTTGTGTTGAGTGATGCTTCCATTCGTATTCGCGTCTGTCTGCCTCCCATCATATGTTCGTGTGTTGCATGTGTGGTGTGAGCGTGTGCAAGAATTTGTGTTTTGTG